CTGAGAGAATATTACATTCGTCAGATGTTGGTTCCGCAATTTGAACACCAACCAAGTCTTGGATACAATTTTTTTAATTTCTCTAAAATGCGTCAAAATGTTGTTTGCGTTTGCAACTTTAAGATTCCATGCCGTAGAAAAATTATAAACTCCGTATTTTGCTTCTAGGCATCGTCAAAATTATAAATTTTTAAGTGAGACACAAGCCCGTAACGCTACTTTGGTCCCTTTTTTGTATCTATAACTAAAGCAATACTTTTTTTTATGGTGTGCATTCCATTGCACCTTCAACAAAAAACATCCCTTGATTATTTAAAAAAGTTTCCAGATCGATATCTCCTTGCACGACGTTGTAATCGGGATCCTTTTTGGTAGAACGACCCATGTACACCCGCATATGGATTTGCACACAAGCCCAAGCAGGTATACAAACGAGGTCGACGTACCGAGCGGTAGTATTACGTGAACGTGCTCGAAGCTATTTCTCTTTCTCGGTTGTGCGCGTTCACGGGCAAGGTTGCCACATTTCAAGGATAAAGCAAAATCGAGCCAAAAGAGAAAGTAAGTGATTACAAGTAAGCAAGCGAGGAACTTCGAACCCCTGTTACTACTACTGCCACCAGTATTGGGTGTGTGCATCAACTTTAAAGGATTGTTTGATGAAAAAAAAAAAAAACAACTTTTATTTCAATGAAATGGATAAAAGTAATTTATTCAAAGCATTCTCCAGCTCGGTCCAGTCCACAAAAACTTCCCACATTTTGGGCCCAAAAACAAGTCAAGCCAGTTTTTGATGCCTCCTACTCATACGAATCATATTCCAGAAAGGGCATTCTGCATGGATCGAATCAAATGGTCATAGGACGGTGCAGGATCTGGACTATATGGATGACAATTGGTCGTGCCTAGTTTCCCAATCCAGCCGTTTTTTGCCTATTGCTTGGTCCAAACACATCAACTGTTGTCAGTAAAGAGGTCCATCGATTGTATGATTACTTCTCAGCAGCTTACAATAGATCACTCTTTTCTGACCTTACCAAATGCACGTCATTACCTTGGCAGAATGGATATTTTTTTTTAGCGATTAAGCAGCGTTTCGGATATGAAAAGCTGCCATTCGATGTTTCTCGACAACTTGACAGGTATCAAAATTCCTTTCTTTTGAATGATTTCCAATGCCTTCAACCATCTGGCAATTATTGCTTGTTCAACATTTAATGATTCTGCAAGTTCTTCTTGCGTTTGACACGAATCCTGATCAAGTATTGTTTCTAATTATTCATCTTCAAACTTTTTGGCTGTCCTAGACATTCTTTGTCTACCGTGTCAAAATTAACACTTTTATAGCGACGTAAGCTGTACTTATAGGTCAAAATCGATGGAGTATGATTACCAATAGTAACCAATGACTTTCGGCTGAATTTTCCTTCGAATTGGAAAAGTACAGTAAAACTCCCCGCAAATACTCTTCAGTTTTGGCACGTACTTTGACATATTTTCAGATAAAAAAAACACACACATGACAAATGGATGACGTAGTTACAGTATTGTGGGATACCTATAGTATTAGTAGAGATATCTCTTATAAATCCTTCAAAATTAATACAAACATCCAATACTACTTAAACTACTATTATTGTCATATGTGTTAGTACCCGCCATACACGTGTATAATATATTTATGTACTTGCTTGCGCTCAGATGGAGTCACAGGTATAAGCCTCATGTAGCGTGTGGGAGTAGCTTCTGGACTCAAGAGATAACTACATCATGTACCTATACGTATTGAATTTTCGCATGAGAAACACGAGCACCGATGGGAAAGCTACTTGAATATAATGGCTGTCGTTTACCGAAGAACACCGACAGATTACGCAATATGCACCAGATTATGCGTGATTCTGTTTTGCTTTTTATTAGGAAAGCTCTCAACCCTAGAAAAACCTTTATTTTACATCAATAATAAAAATGCTACCAGGGACCTAATGAAAACAAAATAATGTATTATCAGTTTCTGCGTAAATAACATTTTGTTTGCAAAATTTTTCATACAACATATTTGAACAGTACAATTCTTTAAAAAAATTATTTTAATGATAAACTATTTAGCTACTTTTTATTTATTATTAATTTTTAGGAATTAGTTTTTTTCATAGGAAAACAATTAGTGTGATAAACAAACGAAGGAATTTTGGTGAGTAAATATTAGTAAATTTGACAAAATGTACGAAAAAAGCATTCCTACAAAGATTCTTGTCAACTCTTTTAAATTTATCTTCATGAAAAACAGACGCTTTCATGATAAAATTTTTGATAAGAGTAAAATACAGTTTTTAGTAAATATAAATAATTGATAACAAACATTTGATGCATTTTTCAAGGGTTGCCATGTATAAATATGCTGCGAGGAGAAAAAGTTTTTTCCTAACAACCGAAGAACTTATCGTCATCTCATTGTTATTCAATTTTAGCAATATCACTCAGTAATTCTTTCAAATTAAAACTTTGTCGAGTTCCATAGATTCCTTAGGGGTCTAATGCTATTGTTATTGATATTGCAGAAAGAACTTGGTACTTGCATGCTCTCCTCGCTTTATCAGAGACCAGACAGCAAGTTACTGTCACTGTTTTCTACCGCCCTCTCGACGGACGATGCTCTATTAGGTTTCGTCAAGTGCATATAACGCATCGTCACTTCTTTTTCTATTGTACAAATGGCACTTTGCTTACTTTACTATTACGGCCTGATACAAAAATGTTGTAGTCAGAATCGAAAATAGTTAGACTTGGTGTACTTTCTTTACACAGGGAGGGCATGCAAATTTTGCTTCGATTAAACTGCAGGTTTGAAATGAAGCTTGCATTCAGGTATTAATAGTAATCATACAATGTAACTGAGATAATAACAAAGTGAAAGTATTCTTACGTTGAAACGATGTTTTAACAATCTAAATATTAACGATTTTTCGATTATTTTTATTTAGTAATGCTGTACGACACTGATAAGTGATAGAAATAATTTAATTCAGAAAAAACAACAACTGGCGTCATACTAGAAACTTTTGCAAAACTGTAGAAAAATATGATCAGAGAAAACCTATTCTATTTTAAATGATTAAATAATATTTTTAAAAAGTTATCTTTTACTGAAGGACCATGTCAGACTTTGGGCAGAGACATAACTCAACGAGCCGTGTGATGTTTGACTCTTAGTATGATGGAATTAGCGGAAAATCTTATTAATAGTAGGAAAACTTATATTAGGATGGAAAAAATTTAAACACTAGTTTTCCAACATCGTACTGAATTGAAGTACTTTTTAACAGGTAACAATGCCAGACAAAGCCCCAAAAAAAATATTAAAAATGGTCGAAACAGATTTTTTGCGTCTAGAAAAAATCAAAGAATCATACAATAAAAAGGATTGTATGAAAAAAATCGCGTAATTTAAAGACGAAAAAATGAACTGCGTTTAACCCAAATCACCTAAGCAGTTTTTTCGCAAATAGCAAAAAATCGATCTTTTGGCCATCTTTTTTAAATTCATAACTTGCGTTGCAATAAATATTAAGAACTATAATTTAGAAACAAAATAGGTGTTTCCGCTGAGAAAACCAAAAAAGGTCCTCTCGAAAAACGGTTCTAAAACAATTATCAGCCAATATATAGGGCCATTTTTTAAAGTCAATTAACCTCTTTCATCGTAAAAGTAATTACAAGTGATAGCAGCTAACAATTATGATAGCAGGATCACCGACATTACATATCGGGAACCGCAAGCATTTATAATAAATGTATCAAAGAGGTCATACATCTAGTTATATGACATTCATTGTATAAAACTTATCATTGCAGTAGTCATTGCATGTGATAAATGTGTAAATAATTGAAAACGATAAATATTTACCTTTGAATTTGCATCGAGTTTAAATGCAGTTTGTTTACACAAACATTAGGCTACTTATTATGTATCCTACTACAATATTGTTTTGTTTCGTATTCGGTTCAAGCTACACTTATTGTGGAACGAACGATAGATTTCAAACGCGCCCTAACAGAGTTGTTTTCAAAATTGAAAATAAATAGCCGTACTTTAACGCATTAAAATTCATTGTTTAACGTTCGATAAATCACATTATATATCTGTAAGTAACGTAAAAATTTTATTTCATTCTTTTTTCTATTTTAAACTGCCATTCAATACCAGGCGCATAAAAAGTCGAGTAAGTTTCATGCAATTTAGAGGAGAGAAAAGGTATTTAAAAAAATGGAAGTTTTAATACAGCATTCAGAGTCTAACGGTAAATGAGTGTATGCAACAATAAATTCAGATATTATTTTCGAGAACAAAATACAAGATGAATTTACAAGAGTTACTTGCACGCTATACTCGACAGCGTAAAACGTTTAAAATTTTACAAAATTTATTTAATAAGCAGCAAAAATCCTCGACGGATAGTTGAAAACGTGCAAACGAGCGTAACAATTAGCACGTCAATGAACTCGAGGGTGCAAGAGAGCTGTGCGGCACAGGTGTGTGCACACGCGCGTACACTTTAACGATTCACCCGGGGGATCGGGGAATGCGCTAAAGGCACTCGGTCGCTCGAATGTCGACGACTGTAAGGCTCCAGTCGAGTCGTGTCGCCCATGCATAGTTTCACAACATTCGACCGGACACGCTCCGCACTCTCGGCCAGAGCAATAGAAAAAGGAATGAAAACACCCTTGCAGGCACCTCTTCCAAGAAATGCTCGCGAAAACCGCACATCAGCTAGTGTTTTTTTCTTTTCTTTTACTTTCTTTTATTACTTTTCTCACCTAGGCAAGACTACGTGCATGCATTGACCACAAGACTTTGATTTTTTTTTTCTCTCGAAAAGTACTTTGCTGCAGCCATAGGCTGTTATTTTGAGATAAAATGACGGATTCGGTTCTCATTTTTACTGAAGCTAATCATCATATTTTTTCTAAAACAGTAATAAGTCGAAAAAACTTACCCTATTCTCGTTATCAACTTTCCATGTACGTGCAAATACGAGGTAACGAATCGCTTATTTAGCTGAAAAAAAAAAAAAAAGTATTTCTCATTACTTTTTGGAAAAAATTTGTTAAATTTATGCAAAATTAGACAAATGTGAGAAAAATAAGCAAATATATAATCATTAAAATGATGTAACTTTTTCTTCGCTGTGTAGTAAAAAAAAAAAATAAAATAAGTGAAAAACAAAAACAAAATACACATAAGCGCAAAATTTATGAATCTCCAATACCTCCACGCTTGTCAGCCGCGCAAGATCCTCTATGTCACTATCCAATCTCGAATCGGTCGCTGTCGTGGCTGACGTAGTGCGCCTCATTCTCTTTCCACCAGGATGGATCCAAATCTCCCTCCTGAGGCCACCACCTGCAAGATTGGCTCCTTCTTTTTCCATCATCCGAGCCCTTTCCTTCAACTCTCGTTCTTCCTTACGCTTGCGTTCCATTGATTCGTACTGTTTTGCAACAAATACATGTTTTTTTTTTTTTTTTTTTTAATTTTTTTTTATTGTACAAGTGTTCGTGCATACTAAATTCTATTAGCTACATGTTGCGTGCACAGTGTGTACAAAACGACAATCAAGAGTGTACGTTTTGCATTGTGTATGTGTACGCTCGTACACCCGTGTGTTGTGTTGCACTAAAAATACATTAACCACATGGAATATGGTGTCGATTTTGAGAAAAAAATAAACGCAATTAACAACAGAGTAACTATACGCGAATTGTTGTAACGATTTTTGGAAATTAACTAACTTCAAGCAATCAATCCGATGGGCAAATTATTAACGGGGGTATAATAATTTTGACAGAGTATTACTCATAATTGCAAGTTTTGTCAGCTGCCATGTGCCATAATGATTTTTTTTTTTATTTTTTTTTTTTATAAACAAACTTATAGTACTCGGAATTTGTGCAGGAAATAAAAATAAGCATTTTGTTTACGGTAGAGAGTGAGAAATTCTAAACAGCCATTCCTTAATAATAAACTAATAACTGATACCCATTACAAGATATACATTATACCTAGTTATAAACAAAAAATACTGCCAAGTATTGATTATTTTGAGAACTTGTGTGAGGTGAAAAAATGTCGTTATAGTTAATGTACTTTGGGGTGCAGAAACGGAGAGCAATTAAATTACGCATGAAATACCAAAGCAAAAATTAAAATAATTTAATATTGTCTAAGTGTAGCAAACTAGATGAAGTCTACTAAAACCGAAAATAGTTTCTATGGCTATGAGGATTGGTGAATTGGTGAAAGAATTCACATCAAGTACTAAACTTTACTTACATAATGTAGATACTGGCAGCGACACGAAATCAAAATATTATGTTAAAAGATTTTATTTTTTACTGACAACAGATACTTATTCTTATTTGCGACCTTAAATCATTACCCACCTTTTTTCGGTTCTCATCGAACATGGCAATCAAACTTTCACGAGCAGAATGGACGGGGCTAGAAGCCATGAGAGACCGCATGTAATAGTAAACGGCGTCTAATTTTCTTCTCTGTAACGTTGTTAGCAAGTAGATGTATTATTTTTATTGATATGAACGTATATTTGAAGTGAAACTCGTACGATTTACTCACGGCATAAAACGCTAGTAAGGCTAATTGATTGTAAGGTCTCCCGTTTTTGGGGTTGATTTGTTGTGCTTTCAGATACCATCTTGAAAATACATTTAAATAAAGTTTACACGTTTTACTTGACAATTGAGCTAAAAGTTTAACACTTACTGTCTCGACTTGCCATAATTGGACGACTCATTTGCTAGATCTTTGTATCTTGCCAAGTCACCCAAAATTAATAATATTCTTTGAGCACTGTTCAATGCCAAGCCTAACACACCAAGACCCTTTGGCGGTATGGACGACGTTAAAAACGCATCAAGTTTGAAATTGTATGTGCCCTCCAAAACGGTGAGTAAATTTGTGAAATACGCCGTTCCTTCATCGACTATTCTCAATAAGAGTTTCTTGTATTGCTCTAGAAGCTCAGCACTTTCATTTGAAACTGGTTTTCTCAATATTTCTATGATATTGTAAAATATAATTTTCCATATATGCTGTTCTACATTTTCAGCAGCACAGAATTTAAGATCAGTGATAAGAAGGTCTTGCAAACTCTTTTGGTAAAAATTCCTAATATGTATAATCTTATCCCAACTAGTAACTACATTGCTAGTACTAATAATACACTGTAGTTCTAAATCAGCACGCCTAATATCCAATAATAAGTGAGGATTTTTAGCTGACCGAAAACTGAAAAAAAGGTGATCATTTGTAAAAATATTTAATTGTGGATAATGCTATTGACAAATAATTTAATATTTACCTATCAGTGTATGGATCATACCACGCTGGTCTTACACCACCAAACTGATCTGACATTTTCAATAGGGAAGTACTATCTAGGGCACTCTGATAACCAGTATATGTGATTTGTTGTATTCCATATGGTGGTTGGTATCCTTGGACGGGAAAATCATTATCTCTGCAAAAGAGTATTCAAATATTCTTCTCAATTAAAATGTTTTCAAAAAAAGAGGATTCAACACTCTGAATAAGCTTTGCGTCACCTGTACTGAGGACCAACTCTATTTCCTGTCGAAGTCACTACAATAGGTTTGTTGGGATTATTGGGATCGAAAAGCGTTTTTTTCTGTTGTTGCGTTATATGCTGCGATCTTGAAGGTACATTGGACGACGATTGAATTGGGTCAGGCAAAACAAGAACACCTGGCGGTTGAGCATTTGTGTGAGTAGTAGGCGATAGTCGATGAAGCGAACTAGGACCGGAATTTGTTGCTGATGTGGAATGTGACAATGGGGTACGTCGGCCATCGTCCGACTCGCAAATTGACGTTCGACCACTCCTCCAATTTTCAATGCCGTCTACATTTTGAGATAACCTGCGTCGAATGATAATTTTTGAGAAATATTTTCAACGTCCGAAAAAAAATGGTTTAAAAAAGTAAAAAATAATATAAAAATACCTGTTTTTAAAGAAATCGTCTTGGCCACGACCGCGGAAGTTTCTGTCTTTACTGGTTTCTCGACTACGATGACCACGTCGTCTACCCTCAAACCTTTTATTGACACTATTCAAACTGTTTCTCTGATTGTTATTGAAATTATCATTTTCTCGATTTTGATGATTAATTTGTCGTTCTTTGCTTATCTCTTCTATTTTATCTTTACTCCTAAAAATATCGTTCAAACAAGTCATTATTATTATATCTTTTTCGCTCTCCATTAAACAAGTATCAAATAACCATTAATAATCAACTTAATTATTATAAAATAAAATATACACACTTGTCTCGACCTCCTCGCTTATTTTTTTTCTTTTTCGAACTTCTTTTTTTGGTTGATGAAGGATTCGTGGGCGCATTCACATTGTCACGTAAACTCATTACTGAAGAACTACGACTCATTTGCTCCGCTTCTAGCCTTTCACTCAACTCTACTTCTTCATACCAATCCTAATAAATGCAATAAGATAATGAGCTAACAACAACATTCATTATACCACACAAAAAACACGTACCAAAACTTCAGACTTATTGTTAGGCACGGGACTACAAGATTCACTTTTTGGTGGACTACTCGTAGGTTGTGAAGGTTTCACTTTATCTTGCGCAGCATAAAAATTATTTAAATTATCATTAGCCTTGTACCTGACACGAATAAATTGAAAATTATAAAATGTTCAAGTCGGGAATGACAAAAAAAAAAATGAAACATAAAAATTATTACATTTGATGAGAAGGACGTTGTGAACTACACAAAGACATCGATTCTCGCTTATGGCTATCAACAGGTGATTGACATCTGTTGACAGTAGGACGATATGATCCCGGTGAAGTAGCAGGTGGAGGCATCAGTACACTGTCAACACGGTTTAAACTTTCCATACTTGTATGCATTGTGCTATTGCTGCCACGTCGGTCGTATGTCCTAGAATAGTAACAGACATTTTTTGTTAAATAACTTTTGTTGAATCATATTTTGAAAAACTTGTTATACCTATTGTACTCTCGGTTAGGTGTTTGAGATCTTGAACTCGGTACAGAAAACTGATCCGGAGTAAGGGGTCTAAAATTTGGGGGTATTTCAGACTCTTCCGTTACTAATCTGCCTCTGCCTCGCCCCCTACTTCTGGCTGGTATAGTATTAGACCAATTTGATTGAGGTGGCGGAGGACCAGGCGGCGGTAGACTTTGCATGGTTTGTGAATGTTGAATTGGTGGATAGGATGGAGCTGAGCTCTGTAAAATAAGAAATTTTCATCAGTTCCCCAATCTAATGAAAAATCACGTCTTGGCTTATTGAAAACATAAATTATATCTAACAAAATATACTAAATTTAATGGTATTGCAATAAGCAAAATTGAGACTCAAAAATATTTGATGACATCATAGGTAAAAACATTGATCATATGATAGATGTGTCTTAAAACACTAAAACTATAATTTGATATCTTAAACTTATTATTCAACTCATAACAAAACATGCAAGTATACAAAAATCAGGTTGATCACAGTTATATTTTTTACATAATATATCTCGTTATTTGAAGTTCTACTCACTTTTATTGTTACAGAATTACCATCCCAAGATTCTTCTGGGTGAATATTTTGTGGTGGAATTATCCCCCTTTCTTGCAGGTATTTATTGCGAAGACGAGGTGGTAAGTTCTCGAATTTCTGTACAGAATTATAATTATCTTTGCCACCCCGTTTTCCAGAAGGGGGTTTACCTTGAAATTTGTCGGAATATGCAAAAGATTCTAAGCTGCGCAAGTCTCGAGATCGATTAGAATCATTCGAATTCCTCGGTATATAAAGCGGCTCTGAACACTAGAAAAACAAAATGTCTTGAATATGAATTACTAACTATAATTTTTCTATTCAACATACCTGTCTCATTTCGTGAGAACGATCCCTACTACGGTTACCAAAATTTCTGTTAGATGCAGGTGATTCTGCTCTCCTCCGATCGTCACTTTCTAGAGTATTACGATTTCTCCTATTTGACAAGTAACGCTTTGAATGATCATCTCTACCACGACCACCATTATCATTATGACTTCCACCATAATTATTAGGAACATTTCTACTTAGATAACTATCATTTCGCTGGTTACTACGATTTGATTGAGTGTCCCAATCTCTACTATTTGATTTATCTCTATCCCTATCCTTATCCCAACTATTTTGCTGTGAAGATCTGAAAAAAATTAGACATTCAATTAATTACGTGATGAAAATGCGTTTGTCTTGTAGAAAACGTTTTAACATTGTAAAATTGTTTACTGATTGAAATTAAATTTTAGTACCTGAAATTGAGTTAATTGATTGTAAAAAAAATTTCATTTCACACAACGCAAAAAATTTGTTTGGTAGTGAAAGTGATGAACAAATTAACATTTAACTCATTAGCTACTGAAAGACAATGTTAATTCCATCTATAAATTATGAGTACCAAACCATTTCACGATATTTTACTTCAGAAAACATTTATACTTGACTCAATCTAAATAAAACTTTTCAAAAATTTGACAGTTAATAAAATGAATTCTTTTAGTACCCTTATTTTTGATAAATAATTTATACAATACTTGCAGCGATAATGTTACTGTAATATATACTGAATACTAAATGTAAAAGGAAAAATCACAAACAAACCACAAATAGCATTGTCATCAAGACAAAAATAAAAAATAAATAATCTAGACAAATTTGGCTTATCTACTTGTTCGAACATAACTTTTGCAGCCTACCTGTTTGATGTATCCTGCTCTGCCATAGCTTCCTTGACTTTTTTTGGTACATATACTTCCTTTTCAGGCTTCTTGCTCTTTCTCTTAGGATCATGGATCCCGGCATGATTGTTCTTAGAGCCACTCTGACTGTGATTGTCATTGTGATTCGCGTAACTAAGTTGAACTTCCTTTAATTTTTCACTAATGCTGTTGATCTCCTGAGACCTGGAGCTGTTCTGATGGGACTGACTGCTGCCAATGCCACTGCCGCTTGGTGGCATAAATTGTGTCTGCTTCAGGCGATCCTGCACGGACGACCCCTTGTACCGGTCCTGCGAGTTGTTTTCGTTGTCGTACTCATCAACCCTGTCAGATTTCCGGAGTGGCCCGCTTCCCGGCCTATAGAGCGGCCTCGCGGGTGCCTTGCCTCCTCCACCACCGCCTCGCATTACAGCTAGCCTGTCCTTCTCGTCTTTGGAGTAATCCTCTGAATGGTTATCTAAAAAAGCGTAATAATTACATTAATTCACAACCACCGCTACCTACATCCTCTAAAATTGCAAGTGCAAAACAACTACTTTAACGCGCGCCCGAGTGCCACACAAAGATAGAAAGGAAGAGTTGTGTGTCTCTGTTGTTGTTTCCAAACAAACAAAAATAAAAAGCATTTCGTTTGACAAACGAGAATGCAACAACCACAGCAAAAGAACCAGGCGATTTGCTTGATAGTTATTCACCTCCTTGTGCAGTTTTTGCACTGGTGGAGCAAGAGTATGAGGATTTTTTGAAATAAGTATACGTTGTAGAGTTTCAAGAGCAAAAAGTTTACGTGCTCCGCAACTCTTTCATCAGTGAAAACAAAAACACAAACACACGCGCACCAGTGTCTTTTTAATCACAACAGCCTCGAGAGGAGGGGGCGGTTATGGCCCCGGTATACCCTTGACAGTGCAGCCGAGACAAAAAAATGGTAATAAAAAAAGTACCCAGCCAGCCAGGGGTTACGCAAGTCCAGGATTCGCGGAGCGGATGAGCTGCGAGAGGGCAAACAAGGGATGATAATGATGAAGATGATTGCCCCCTTAATCCTTACTGGTGATCGACAGCAGATTACTCGTGACCGGTCTATTTTTGGTAACCGGTGTCGCACTCGGGCACGGGGTCAAAAGGCGCGAGAGAAAAAGAGCGAGCGACAAAGGAAATGCAGGGAAGAAGAGTTCTCTCGTCGGGCTCCCGCTCTTTGAGGTTAGCTTTGTGGAATATTGTTAGTTGGACGATGCCGTCGAGGAGGTAACAGGCGACCGCGAGCTAGATTGGTCCAGGAAGAGGGGCACTCTTTTTTAACGGCTTACCAATCTCTGCCCGGCTCAATCAGGGCCCAAAAGTTGCGGTAAACGTATTACACTTTTTTAACTTTCGGCCGCGCATATATATATATATACAAAAGTATACGGAGATAATTTTGTCGCTACTTGTGAACTTGTCGCAGTTCGCAACTTCTGTTCACAATCGGTGTTTGCGTGATGTGTATAGATATATAATACAGACGCTCTTTATTTTATACTGTACCTACTACCATTTGGTACTTGTAAAATTTTAGGTTCAAGTACACATTATAATTGTGACTACTTAAAATTACGATTACCACCAAATACATGTATATTTACACGCGTCCTTTATTTGTATATTTGTATTGTGTATAAGAACAAATTGTACAAATCCGGCAATGTAGGTATGGTTACAATTCAAACGTTAATATTTATAACCATTATATATTTATAATGTTCATACTTCTATCGAGGTCAGAACCTCGAACCTAATTTACCTAATACAAAAAAAAATATTTATAAATATATAATCATATGAAATATCGCGCGACGGCCGATAAGAGATTTATCGCAGGAACCTGCTATGTAAACGAAAATGTAAAATTCCTGTCATATCGATATTAGATGGCCGATAAGGTCAATTAATGCAGGGCCCTGTCTCATCGACCGTAGATAGTACCGATTGTTGGCACAACGAATACCAGTAGTCCGACATCAACCTTGTGAAGTCGGTACGACAGGGCCCTGAAAACCAAGTATCTTATCGGCTGTCAGTCTTGAAGATTGAAGGGCAAAATTTAAAGATAGTTCAGAGCTGCAGTCAAAGAAATATGGTGTTTTTTAGTTTGAAACTATAAATATGAAAGGCTGTGCTTCCATGAGTTAATGATAAAAGGTCTAGAATATTGTAATTTTGTAAATATGGTCGATTTTATAAGCCATATAGGATAAGTAGAATATTTATAATTTTGAAGGTGGATTTTCGGGTAAAAGATAAACATAAAACTTGAAATTTACTTCTCTGTGATAAATGTATTTTTTATTTAGTGAGATCCAGTGCTCCATTCTTAGATGACTCTTCGTGTGACAGTGCTTCTTTTTTGAATAAAAGATAAATTGTAAACTTGCCGCAAATAACACAAGGATTGTTAACTTTTTATTTTGTATTTTCAAGATTAGTTGCGGCTGGTTTATAATTAATAAAGTGACTTAACTGAAGATAGCAATAATTATTTGGATCAGCGCCATCTAGCGGTCTTTATTTTTTGGCCAAAAGTGGCTCCTAAAATTCTCAATGAGAGCAATCACGATTAGAGCCATTTAATCAGTTATAAACCAGCCGCGACTTATGATGAAGCTATAAAATAAAAAAATAACAGTACATATGTTTTTGGCGGCAAGTTAACAATCTATTTTTTACCAAAAAATTGACCTCCTATGTGTTTATACTTTTGAAGATAAATTTTCGAGCAAAAAATAGATTGATAACTTGCCGCCAAAAACACATGTACTGTTATTTTTTTATTTTATAGCTTCATCAAGAGTTGCGGCTGGTTTATAATTGACTAAATGGCTCTTATCTTGATTGCTCTGATTCAGAATTTTAGGACCCACTTTTGGCCAAAAAATCAATACCGCTAGATGGCGCTGATCCAAATAACTTTTACTATACTTACAGTAGAGAGACTTTGTTAACTAAAACTAGCCGCAACTTATCTCATAGATAGACAATAAAAAGTTGACATTTTTTGTGCTACTTGCGGCAAGTTTACAATTTATCTTTTATCCAAAAATCGACCTCTGCAAGTAAATAAATATTCCACTCATCTTGTATGGCATATAAAATCTACCATATTTACAAAGTTACAATACTTTGGACCTTTTACCATTAACTCACGGAAGCACAGCCCTTTAACTTTATAGTTTAAATAAACAGTTAACTTATATAATATGTACATATCAAGATTTGTGTTACAGAAAATTTGAACAATGATTAAATAGATATGTAAAGTAATCAGTCGAAAAGAGACAACTGAAGAAAAAAGGCTTAAAAAAAGAAGTTCAGTCACACAGGAAGAGTCTCCTAAAAATAGAACATTGAATCTCACTTAATGAGAGTTATTTCAGATATACAGAATGTGAAAATTCATAATTTTATGCTAAGGATTTGTGTTTATTTGAATAATAAAGAAAATTTGTTAATCAAACATAGAGCTTTATTTGTTTTACATTTAACAAATGATTGATGATGATTATACAAGCAGCAAGTTGTTTTATATGAAAAATTCATTTTGATTAATCCTGAAAAATGTTGGAATGGTCCATGTTGGATTGAAAAACTTTGAGTCGCTGAAATCTGTAATATTTTTTTTCTTATGTACATATTATATATTTATGTTACTGTGCAATATGTCACACATTCATGTTGTGAGATTTGAATGTTTCAATAATTTGACAACGCACAAGTTAAAAGTCTCAACTAGCATCGTAAATAGTAGAATACATTTACGTGAATTAATCAGTCTAAAAGAGACAACTAAAAAAAAAAAGCCTAAAAAAAAGCACAGTCACTCAAAGAGTCTCCTAAGAATAGAGCATTGGATCTCACTAAATAAAAAATACATTTACTACAAAGTAAGTATTATAAATAAACAAAGAACCCAACCTTCTCTGATTAAGTGAGATTCAATGTTCTATTTTTAGGAGACTCTTCCTGTGTGACTGAACTTCTTTTTTTAAGCCTTTTTTCTTCAGTTGTCTCTTTTCGACTGATTACTTTACATATCTATTTAATCATTGTTCAAATTTTCTGTAACACAAATCTTGATATGTACATATTATATAAATTAACTGTTTATTTAAACTATAAAGTTAAAGGGCTGTGCTTCCGTGAGTTAATGGTAAAAGGTCCAAAGTATTGTAACTTTGTAAATATGGTAGATTTTATATGCCATACAAGATGAGTGGAATATTTATTTACTTGCAGAGGTCGATTTTTGGATAAAAGATAAATTGTAAACTTGCCGCAAGTAGCACAAAAAATGTCAACTTTTTATTGTCTATCTATGAGATAAGTTGCGGCTAGTTTTAGTTAACAAAGTCTCTCTACTGTAAGTATAGTAAAAGTTATTTGGATCAGCGCCATCTAGCGGTATTGATTTTTTGGCCAAAAGTGGGTCCTAAAATTCTGAATGAGAGCAATCACGATTAGAGCCATTTAGTCAATTATAAACCAGCCGCAACTCTTGTTGTAGCTATAAAATAAAAAAATAACAGTACATGTGTTTTTGGCGGCAAGTTATCAATCTATTTTTTGCTCGAAAATTTATCTTCAAAAGTATAAACACATAGGAGGTCAATTTTTTGGTAAAAAATAGATTGTTAACTTGCCGCCAAAAACATATGTACTGTTATTTTTTTATTTTATAGCTTCATCATAAGTCGCGGCTGGTTTATAACTGATTAAATGGCTCTAATCGTGATTGCTCTCATTGAGAATTTTAGGAGCCACTTTTGGCCAAAAAATAAAGACCGCTAGATGGCGCTGATCCAAATAATTATTGCTATCTTCAGTTAAGTCACTTTATTAATTATAAACCAGCCGCAACTAATCTTGAAAATACAAAATAAAAAGTTAACAATCCTTGTGTTATTTGCGGCAAGTTTACAGTTTTCCTTATATCCAAAAATTACTAGTTTGCTGTAAATCAGCCCATGCTACAACATAATTAAGCTCTCACATGTGAAGATGTGAACCGTGCACGGTTAAAATAAGTTACGGAATACCTACTCTACCACCCCTGAGCCGCTTCAATATTGACCCTCCACAGCGGACACTGGCCTAGTGGATACATAGGAAGTAATCGAAGGGTCTAATAAATCGGCTCCAATAGACCTTCCGCTTCGGACATATTTATAATAGCCTATATAAGTTTTCCTAGTTAATTTGTATAAGTAAAGTGAGCGGTGGGTCTAATAGATCGGCTCCAATAGACCCTCCCCTACGGACGCGGACCTATAGTAAGTTTTCCTAGTCAATTTTTTTCAAAAGAAATGTATACATTAGATGTTGATTTGCAGTCCAGGAAATTTTAATTCTTAAGTAGTTTCCTAACAAATAAACATAAAAAATGGTCGTTACTTCGTTTAATAGTTGTACGTATTGTGCACAAAACCATAGCACACTACTTGACTGTTACGATTGATTCTACACGCAAGACTCAACCCTTTAAATACTTATATTCAATTATAAAATTGAATTCTAATAAATCATCTTATGCACAATAAAATAAAAATACCATTAGTTCGACAAAAAACTTTATTTTTATCAAAAAAATTTTTCTTTATAAATCTTTCGTGAAGATTTATAAATTGACATTCGAAACCATCTCAGTCGTTTGAAAAACAAAAAATTTCTTTTGAAGGAAATGCTTTTTCAACACACTAAGTTTATGAAAATACTAGTCATCTCTCACTCACTGAATACAAACATTTTTAGGAACAAATGAATCGTTTAACGTTGGTACTAATAACTTCGAACACCGGCTGCACTCTTTATGTACCAGTTTACAAATTTGCTTGTTAAAAAGTATCAATACAGATCATTAAATTTAATTTGTTTTGATCACAAAAGTATACAAAATCACATCCATAAATGTTGCACTTTTTGCTCTGATTTTTTTCAGTCATTTCAAATGGTATAATTAATGTTGTTATTCCAACAGTAGGACACCTCGCGTAGTATATCATGGCATGGCTTCAATGAACGATTGTGTATGAATAAAACATTTGTCGAGTTTCCATACAAGTACCAACATTTTGTTTGAGTTCTACTGATTCGTTTGTGCTAGTTCTTAGTTGTTTATGCTCAATATAAAATTGACTTAATTACGGCAATCTAAAAAAAAATCTACAGTCTTTTAAAAATTTTCGTTCAAGTTATCCAATGCAAATGTTTTTAGATGATAAAATTTTTCGACTCATCAAAATTCTCATAAATGATAAAAAGTTCCAACATTCAACATTCCAAAAGTCTCTAATCAATATTATCTAAAAAATCGCGTATAGCCTTCTCGTCTCTTTTCAACCAAGCAACATTCAGTTTAATGTTCTCGATACTCTGCTGCACAGTTCTTTCAATTCCCTTGGTAGGGTTGGCTTTGAAAAATTGCTCGATTTCTTGAGCATAGCTCTCTTCGGCAAATTTTTCGGAGGTGCACTTGACGATTGCCGCGAGCAGGGAAATGCTCTTGTAGCGCTCGGTCAATAGGCTATAGTTTTCCTTCAAAAACTTCCACGCGATAACACGGCCTTCATAGGAGCTTGAAACAGACATTATAACCATTGGCATGTCCTGATGTTTTACCTCGTCGCTTATCGAGAACTCAAGTACGCGTTTTAGCATATCCTTGTCGTTCGTCGCGCCGAGGGCACAAAGAATTCTGACCTTTTCTTCGTGCAAGTCGGCTTCGTGATACAACTTCACAAACGTTTCAAACATGTCAGGGCCTCCACTAGCGAATACCGCCCTGTAAACACAATTTCGAAGATCGGCAGGTAAAATAGCTTTGCCAAAGATGTGAGCTTCAAAGCGTCGATTGGCTTCCGCTATGACAGCTTCATCTTCAAAAGCCACTAAGCGGCCTAGAACTAGAGATCTGCAAAAATGTAATTAAGAATAAAATATTGTTTTCTAAATCATAAATTTCATTCAAGGCAGTCAGTTTATTAATTTTATTATGTACCTAAGTAAGGTATCCAAATGGTTTTCATTGTCCTTTGTATCCCATCCTAAATAATCATGAATATCCTGTAGAAGTGATCTTCCAAACGATTTGTACTTTGAGTAAACATCTAAATGGGCCAAAAGAACGCTAAATTTGCTTAAACAATTTCTAATACTGGTCCACACTGTACAATTGTTTTCACTTTTAAATGCTTTTAACAGTTTTAGTATTTGACTAGATGAAACTTTTCCGGCCTGTGACAATGCAAACAAGTCATTCAATAAATTAAGACGATCCAAAGGTGGTAGACTTTGATTTTCAATGGCAGGCAATAAGCTTTCCAGCAATTGATTACTGTACAGCGTTCTGTACACGCCAACTGCTCCAGGATTCACCTTAATCCAGGCACTTTGAGCTACACCTTCAATTTCTATGTCCTTTGTCTTAGTCTCCATGATTTCATTCTTTATAACTTTGTCCGGATTGTCAGAACAGCTTATTGCTATGGGAATGACCCACAAGCTGTTATTTGCATCTACAGAGCCGTCTGCTAAAAACCTTTCTTGTGAAATGCTCAGTACCCGTTTATTTCCATCACAGGATTTTTCGGAGACTGTGAGAAGGGGAAAACCTTGCTGCTTTGTCCAACTTGACATCACATGGCGAATTGACTTGTTGCTACTTTCTTCAAGAGCAAGCCACAAATCTTCTGTTTTGGCATGAGCATACATGTGTCTCTTCAAATAAAGAGCCATGCCCTTTCTGAAACAATCATCCCCAATATAAGAGTGCAACATTCTAATGACGCATGCACCTTTATTATACGAAATGTCATCGAAAATTTCATCTATTTCATCGGGATGGCCAACTGGCACTTCAATGGCATGACTATTCTTAAGAGCATCCAATTCTAATGCTGTGGTGTACATGTCGGTGACGAATTGCGTCCAAATGTCGTATTCTGGAAAGAGAAGGTCCACACACAAAAACTCAAGGAATGAAGCATACCCTTCCTTCAGCCACAAGTGTGTCCACCATTCCATGGTAACAAGATTACCAAACCATTGGTGAGCTAGCTCGTGGCTAATGGATAAGGCCACATGCTGCCGGGAGACTGCTGAAGTATTGTCAGGATCAACAAGAAGACGAGTTTCACGGTAAGTAACTAATCCCCAATTCTCCATAGCTCCAGCTGCGAAATCTGGAATCGCGATCAAATCCATTTTCGGCAATGGATATGGTATTCCAAAGTATGACTTGCAGTAAGGAAGTACTTTGGAGGCTACATGAAGAGCAAATACACCTTGTTCGGTTTTTCCTTTTGGAGTGTATACTCGCACACAAACACCATCTGAATCGTATTCTTGGATGTAATCAAACTCTCCAACAATCATGGCCACTAAATATGTTGACATTATTGGTGTAGTGTCAAATACATGACAAATCTTATTTGATGAGGCAACTGGTGTGCTCGATTTGACAGGCTGAAATTAAAATAAACGCCACGTAATGTGAATAAACGTATAACTTGATATTTTTTGCTTGTAGAGTAACTCCCCAAAAACAAACCATATTTGATAAGGCCAGTAAATCTTTTGGTACAACTAATGTAATATCAAATGTGGCTCTCAAGGCAGGTTCATCCCAACAGGGAAAACATCTTCGTGCATCTGTGGCTTCAAATTGTGTGACTGCTGCATATTTTTCAGTTCCATCAATACTGTACCAAAATAATATTTTATTGATGATAATGACGGACAAAATGTATAATTAACTAGTAAAAAAAAGAGAAATAAAAATGTTAAATACCTAGTGTATTTACTGCGATAGAAACCCCTCAACTTATCATTAATGTGTCCCTGAAATTCCATGCGGAGAACACCAGTTCCTCCAATGGGTAAACTTTCTGGAAAAGTAACAGTGACCACCTCGTTTTGTTCATCAACGTTGACGGATGAGGACTCAACATTTTTACCACCACTGTTGACGTAAACAACTGACTTGATATCGATTTCATTACAGTTGAAGGTAACTGAATTGGTAGTTTCCAAGATCTGAAATATTGTAACAAATTAATCGTCGTACAGTCTCATTTGACCCTATAATCAAAAATTTTAATGGCTAATAAACTAAATTTTTGGATTTGGCTGTGACTCTAAATCGACTAACCTCAACAGTGATGTCTTGTTTACCATTGAAAGTAAAGGTATCTATGTCGGGTTCGATTTCGGTCTTGTAGTTAATGGGTTTGACATTGCCAGGTAGCCGCTGAAAAGGCCTCGCTTGGGTGCTCATCATGTTTATTACCTACTTGATAATTAACGAATTTGTTAGCATGCACCACAACAACAATGTTGGCTGGGCTAAAGTAAATTATATATAGGACATGGCTTCACACATAAGAGTATAGGTATATATAGAGATTCTATGGGTTTACATGTCCTGATAAAAAACCGCTGAAATTAAAAGTTAACGTCCAAAGGGTCATTTTTGACACAATATGGATTGAAATCCGCAGATCACGATGAAAATAGTGAATACTATGAAAGCTTAGTCATTTGCCGTGAAAATAGGTTTTTAAGTTTGTTTCGCCAACATCTGGTAAACGGTAAAAGATAGGCTGAAAACAAAAATACTAACTTGTAGAGGAAAAAATTTTTCATTAATTTGATATTTTACTTACTTTGGTTTGATCCCATTCAAATTTTTGAGATTAAAAATATCTTATGTATTTTCGTCCAATGCCATATCGAGATCTTTGACAATAGTACACGCAGATGCAAAAGGTTCGATTTCGATATTTTTTAGAATCTTTTCCATATTTTTCAAAACTCAATTACAAGTCAAATCATCGGTGTGTCATTTTGATTTTTTTTATTAAAAAAAAATATTGTTCCATTTACGTTTTATTTAATAAATAAATAAAAAGCAAAATATTTTTTTAACCATTTGAAACTTTGTGGAAGCTTGCTACGAACTTCTACATGCTCTTAAAGAAAGATTTTGAACACAAACAGTAAATTATAGTCCAATATAATAAAAGCGATGAATGGTCAAACGTGTGATGGAATTATTCATAGTTTTCGTAGAAAGAATATTGTTTATTTGGCAACGTTTTTCAAAATAAATTCCAGTGTGTACAACATATATGTCTCTGTGCTAATATTGCAAGAAAAATAAAATATTATAATGTACAAAACGATCGTATACATGAGTTTTTACACCATAAAAACATGTTTTTTTTTCCTAATTTGGGCGTTTTTTTAACGTTTGGACGTTTACTGCACCCTCGGTAGAAAAAAATCGAGTTCGCGCTTGGTGCGCATCCAACCAGGGCAAGCACAAGGAGCACCTTTTTTTTAATGCATGATTATTTAATTTTTTTGCAGTGGGAGAGCTTCGCCCCAAGGAACTGAGCTTTTATATTTGTTTTATAATTTACAAACTATGAGTTTTTTTCAGGATACCACAGGAATTTACGTATTATACCTAATTACGCAATAATTTCTGATCTAATTTTGTTATTTACGTTTGTCTTATTTATTTAATACTAATAATATACCATTAATAGCGACTTCGAATAACTTAGTGGTAAACCAACGACACGAATCAAGTTTACTGTACGAAAGATGAAGTTTTGTCCGTTGGGAAAAATCTCCATAACTCATACTTTTCATAGGGTGTATATGTATATATCCTACATTAAAAGATCAACTGTTACATGACTTAAGCCTTTCAACTTGTTATGTGGTTGTTGGTTGGGTTTAAAAAAATTAGTCTTATTAGAATGTAAAAATAATTGTAATAAAATGTAAAAATAATTTTAAAGTGTACAATACAAAGGAATCTGGAGTGATACTATTTCGTTTGTTTACCTACTCGTTGTTTGTCTTGAAAGAAACAACTGGAAGAGAAACTTCATTTTTTTCGGCTTCTGGCGCCTACACATTGATTTTTTTTTTTTTTTTCACGATGTTCTGTCTAAACTTTTGAGGTATTGAGCACCTTATCTGATAGTTTACAACCGAAAATAAAAATTTTGTCTTCAAGTAGGGGACATTTTATTTGTGAAACCTACTTTTGACACTTTTCAATTGCGCACCACAAATGATTTAATTCGACCAAGTGATTAATTTTCAGACTCTTGGAATTGATCGTTTTGTATTCCGGAGTGTACGATAATACTGTCAATTTTTTTTGCAGCCCCAAATTTTCATTTGGCTATTTGTAGTATCATCACGAATAAGTACAGAGCGTTTTTCCCGATAAAATAAGCGGTCCAACTTGTTTATAACTTGGAAAAAATGATTAAAAAATTCTAAGCATTCAATTCAAAAAATCTTAAGTAGGGCGTGAAAATATGGCAGTTTTTCTAAAATAATCCAAATATATCTAAATACAGTAATGTTAAATTCAGTTATAAATTGGGTAGAACTGCATACAATAAACTGCTTCTATAATGCACTACACGTACGTTTTCATTTTGTAAAATTTTAAAACTTTTAATATACTTATTTTACTATGACATTCAAACTAAAAATTCATAATTGCTTTTAATAAACCGTACCGCGCGTTTCTGATACAACTAGTTCAATCGCCTATTCATACCTATTTTATTGTTAATACACTGAGAGACCGAATTGTTTATAGTTAAGATATATGTTAACTGTTAACATACACATGTTTAAATTAAAATGGTGTATGTTAACAGTTAACATATATCTTAACTATAAACATCCCTTTTTAATTAACTAACTTTTTTAAATAATTTAATATGATTCACTATCAACGATTGATACTTACTGTATCTTTTGAAAAGAAGATAAAAATTTCTTGAAAAAATGTTCATTATACATCAAAAAAAAATTAAATTATACGTATACACTACAATATCAAGAATACGTTATTTTTATCAGTTGTTATAAACTACAACGATCAGAAAGAAATAGAGAGAAGTCGAGCACTGATTTTTAAATGATAAATCTTTATTCAAATACAATGTAATCTTATCTCGGTACTTACGTAGATTAGAACGGTGGATGTGCGGGTATATAGTGGAGGTAGCGCGTCTTTACTTTTATTCTCATTTAGTCAATCCTATTAGTTGTGGCAGTAATAATGGCACGCCCGAGCATCGCTGGTTTTATCGCCCTCTACCTTTTTTCCTTCGGAAATGGTAAAATTATTTCCATTCATTTGCATGTTCATTAGACAATAAAAGTATATTTTTTACTCCTGGTATTACCATAAATATGAGACAGTAAGTATCATACTTAGAGCTATGATATTTCAGTGTTCCCTACATCCTATTTCTTTTTTGGTACATCTTTAAATATAATTTAATATTAATCTCTTTTAATGATTTTTGCTATACAAAAAGTTACTTTTTTCATGCCTGTACGTATTCCATTAAATAAAGTCTTAATTAACTATTAGTGGTTTTTATGGTAAGTTATTATTACGTATTCGTAAATAAAAATTTTTCAAGTTCATGATTATATCTGTTTTGACAATTTATTATCTTTTGAATTGTTTTTTAAAATATTTCATATTTTTTTTTACATCCTTAACTTAATTTAAGATAATGATTCGTACAGTTCTCCTAAGCATTTCGAACTGTTTTATTGTAAGGAAGCATATTTTTCCCATTTTCACTAATCATTGTAAAAGTATCGTGGTATCGGTATTTTATGGTATTTTTTAATGATATAT